CCCCAAAACCCCAAAACCCCAAAACCCCAGCATTAAGGAGATTTATAGAAAATAAAAGCTATATTCATATAAAAATTACAAGATGAGCATACATACTGCTTTAAGGTAAGGAGATTGACTCTAGAGCCTCCTAAGGTGATTGAAGATTCCTAGATCTTCTAGAAGATGATATTATGTACATTTTCATCATTGTCAGAGTGGTTATTCTTTGAGATATCCTAAACCTTCATTTTTACAACATTAAGGAATGCGATGAGGTTTTCATTTGGCAATAAGCGAGACGACTATTTAGTACAAATTTTGAAAGTCTTATGAACGCTCTTACTCATACTGAACTCTAGAGACTTAAAGGAATCGACTAGGAAGCCAACGTCATTTCGTTCAATCAAGAATATCTCTACTGGGAGTGCATTTTTCAAAAATTTAGCACTGAAGAACCAGAATATTTGTATGCAAATTTAGGCTAAAATTATAGTTGAAGAGAGGAAAAGACCTAGCTTAAGAAGTGAGTCATATTTTACCCTCCCTAACCCTCATAGATCATGGCAGAACTCAGTCAATGAGCTCGATCATTAAGGAGCATGTTAAAGATACAGGGTTTGATGAAAAAGTTCCTATCCCTGCTCATTGGAAGAAGGAGCCATTTATAGTCACCACACGTACTGAGCTCAAAGATCTCCAAAGAGCGGAATTTCTTCCAAATGCTAGCTATAATCTAGACGGAGATGGTAGCGTCAATGAAAAGGAATTTGTAAGTATCACATTTTAAGCATTAGATCATTGGAAAGATGTTTGATAAGGGCAACAAGGGATATCTTACACAGAGAGAAAAAGCTGAAGCTTGCGCTGCCATAAATAATGGTCTTGAGACTGATCTTATCAAAAGAAAAGAAATTTCTGGGAAAAAGGGTTTTTACCATCACAAAAGCAGACATACGATAGATTTCGAAGTTCCTAATGAGTCAATGCCAGACCCTAGCTCTTGCACTTATGGCTCTAACCCAGATGAAAACAGTAATTTTTACTTGTAAAATATAGGTCCATCCCCAAAGAAAACTTTTAGAAGCAAAACAGAGTTAGACAGCTACAGAAAAGATGAAAATGTGAGAACTTTAAATCTTCTTAAGAAGAATTTCGATCTCAAAAACTCAGATTTTGTTCCTATAAAGTTTAAAAAGTCTGAATTCCTGATAAAAAATCCAAAACACCAGTCGATGAGTGAGATTCATGACAAACTCAAGAAAGATGCAAGAATTAAAGCTGGTCTTGATGCTGTTGCTAGCATGCATATCACCAGAGAAACAGAGAAGATGGTTCCAAGCCTAAGATACAACACAAAGCCCAAGTTTCCAAGTGCAACGGTTATGAAAGAGACATTCAGAGATGATAAGATCAAGAAGGAAAATCAAGCTAATAACATGAACAACCATATCGACCCTGTCAAACGTATTGATGAAAAAGAACAAGCCTCCTTTAGGATCAGAAGATTTGATCATGATAACCCAACCTTTGCAGAAAAAATCGAAAGGCAAAAGAAAGAAAATTTGGAACATTATTCCAAGACTTTTGGCAACATCACCATTGGAGTACATGGGCGCGAATTACCAAAATTTTCAACAAATAATAAGGAGTGGTGGAAGAACCAGAGTGGGTATAATAGCTCACCAAAATACCTTTCTTCTAAAGTTATGCACGAGGATAGAAATTCTTTCAAGGTAATTTTAATGCTAAATTCTCTAGAAAAATGAGCCTATTGTTTTAGCAGAGACTACTATTGAGCCTCCTCCGTTAGATGTCTTCAAGAGAAACAGCATTCCAAATTTAAGTAAGAGCATATGAGAGAAGATTTAGAGCCATACCAAACTCTTGAGCATAAGATTGCTCCGAAGATCACAGATTGCAAGAGAAAAGGGTAAGATATTTTTCAATACTTAAAATTTATAACTCCTAGGCCTGACTTCTTCGAACCCCAATACGACAGACCCCACAAGACTTTGAAGAAATGGTCTGAAATCGAGAGACAATTCCGTGACATTCCTCGCTCTCGTAGATACATGGACGGACTAAAGCCTGCAAAAGAGCATCCTTCAGACATTAACGGGCCTCTGTATTCCTCATTCACCAAGAACAACGAATTCAAGGAGACCAAAGTTAGCCAAAAGAGCTAAAATCTTGCTAAAATCAATTTTTGGCTAAAGAAGGATTTACCAATATTCAGAAATTTAGCAGGGGTTTTGGGGTTTTGGGGTTTTGGGGTTTTGGGGTTTTGGGG